TCTGAATACTCCATTCTTGATTTCTATAGTAACTCAAGTTTTACGGTATCAAATTATAAGCGACAGATCATAGTTAAGCGTACTGCATGCGAATAGTGATAAACTTATCTAGTACCATAAAATCATGCGGAAAGATAAACGTTCTTGGAGGAACGAGCTAACTGATTGAAATTCAAAGACTTTGGAGAGGTTGTAGAGGCCACTGTTATCACAAGAATCTAACTGGTGGTTCATCTTCCTCTCAATAGCGCTATTGTGCTTTGTCATATTTTACTAATAAGAAAATCACAGTCAATTTCCCCCCTCCCCCCTTCAAATAAACCTTATATCAAGTTTATTTGAAAGAAGTATTTAAAAGATTTTTAACGAGACTTATTGTAAAATTCATTAAATTTTCTTATGCACACCTTGATATCTATAGATATTTACAGAGGGTATGTTTCTGCTGCTTTAATAAGTCACGTATTTAATTATGTTTTACTATTATATTTTTAGTATACATAATAAAGTAGAACAATATCTTATGGAAGTGGATGCGTTGAAATGTTATATGAGTTTTTTTTCAGTAGAAAAATACCGGACTTTTCGTTATCGTGACGAAATGCTCACCCAGCCAAGTTACCAATGTCTATGAATTTTTTTCACTCTAGTTGCCTTTGTACCATAAATCGAATAATTACGTAACATGACGCGCGTAACAATTTAGTAACAACAAAGTAATATGTGAGAAAATGAATATCATACATTATATGACACGAAACGAGAAACTATTTATGCAAAATAAAAAGATATATTTAAAGGATTTTAAAGGATGCTTTGTATAATTATGGTTAGTATATAATAGATTTATTTAGAAATTTCGTAGTAGCTAATAACAATGTAAAATAAATATTGAAAATTTTTGAATCGGAAGTAATGAAAATTGCATAATGAAAATCTATTTAGAATTTGGAAATTTTATTTATATAGTAGAATTTTCATTAACAAATAGTATGTGTCTTAGATTAATATTGACCATTTTTTACGAATTATATATAATATATTTTAATAGAATTTCAAATTCTCATTTAGCTAAATAAATGAAAATGAGAATTTTTAGCTGCTTTTGTAGGGATTAAGATTATATGAATGGAGTTTATAGGAAATACTTATGAATGAGGCAATTCAGCAGTCGAATAGGAAAATAAAAAAATTGAATTAAACGATCACAATTATAAATTTACTCAATACTAACGAGCAACCACAAATTATATGCCTTTTCTTTTAAGATCTAAAAAGCACAATCTAATTCTAATGTAATAACATACGCGCGCGCGCAGACGAGCACACGCTCGCACATACATAAAAGTTAAAATATTCAGAGTTACTATTCAGTCGAATTTTTTCGTTTCCCCTAAATCTAAGGGGGAAAGCTGACATTCGTCCGTTCGTTACCCACAATTGCACCAGCACGTTACTTATAATTGCGATGTTCTACAAGTTGCGATCACAAGTGAGACGACGCCACTAAACAGACAGAATATCAAATATTTACCAACCACTTGTCCCGGACGATAGTTCCTCCAACTACTTGTTTTCGCACTCAGACCTATACTTTAGTTTTTAGAACGTGGGGGTATTTGTTTTTAGTAATTCTTCTGTTTTCAGATTTTACTTTGCGTTGCTAAGTTGATTTAGGAGATGTTTAACCGAGCAGAAGAAGATGTTGTTGTGGATGACAGAAGATGGTAGTATTTTCCGGTCTAAAGTTGCTCGGAAGGAATGCGGTCCGTAGGTTTCTGACGATCGAAGAATAATGAGAATGGAGAGTTTCCTTCATTTGCAGCTCTTACTAATAGTTCAACATTTATTTAAAGTTATGTTTCTTTGTTGACTGTAATTTACAATAAATCTTAAACCAGATTATACAATAAAGTTATTGAAAGGAATATTAAGCACCTTTTAGTATTACCTTGATTACATATTTCTTAAATACACGTCATTCAATAAATAAATCTAGAAGGTATTTTAATTACATTTAACTCATCGAGATTTAAAAATAATATGTAATTCTGTTACGTACGAACGAATATTAATAAAATAAATACAAAAATACTACAACTATATCTAGTGTGCGCTTTAATTGTTGATTAAGATTAAATAATTGTAACAAAATATTCTTCATTATGTATATTAATCATCAATATTAATCATTTTAATTAGAAATTCTTTTGAATGGCTTAACGCTTACATATCATCGCTAACATAAGATTTTATAAAAGATTATAATCTAATTAGTACTTTCTTAAGTTAATATGCAACTGAATTATGGACTTAAAAATTGACTGAATCGTTAATTCACATATGTCTATTCAATTACGGTGCGATAAATATTTCTAAACGAAAATTATGTTGCCAATTTACAGACATGAAAATATCCTTCCCTCAAATATTTTTCGTTATTAATCTTTGAATTTCGTTACGATAATCTCGTGGAAAAACAAAACACACATACACAAACACACACAGGCAAGCGTGTATAAACAGACATAACAGAGAATAAGTTAGACGATCTATCTATATTAGTTTATATATAACGATATGGATATATTAAAAAAGATGTTTATGACATATTAAAAATAATTACAATAAATATTGACTATAAATTCACTATACTCAAATATTTATCATTGATATTTATTTCAAGGAATAAAGTACAAGTTAAAGAGTGAACATTTTTCAGCTATAAAAAAAGATATAAAAAAAGTGGAAATAATTAACTTGCTATTGTGTATTTTTATTTATGGTGATTTCTAAGTATGACATATTAATATTTTTTACTATTTATTAAACTTTATCGTACTGAAATAAAGTAGTTATATGGGAAGAATTTACTTTGTAATTGAATCAAACGTTTGCAAGTTTGATACAATTGAAAAATACAATTTTTTCATAATATATTTACAATGACCATTAATATAATTTTATTACAATATATTTAACATTATTTTGTATAAATAATTTTAAATTTTCAATTGAAATTATGCATTTTTTATTTATGTACTCATTCTTATTGTTTATTTATATAATACTTATCAAGCTCTTGTTTAAACCTAATTGTTTAAACATCACTTAATCTGTATGTACAGTAGAATCATGTATATTATATATAATTAAAAACATAAGATTTTTATAATAATTACTTATTCTATAGTAACTTTAAATTAACGTTATTTATTCATTCAATGAATTTGAAATAATTTACCTGATTTTTTTTAATATAAAGTTATCTGAAAGCCTATATTTTTGCAGTAGAGAAAGCAAAATTTCATACATGTTACAAAATGTAAATAGAGATTAAGAATTTATTCTTTGCTGTTTTTTCAAACTTACAAAATTTTTTTCTCTTAATTCATTTTACATATAATAAGAAAAAAAATTAAAGAATTGCTCTAAACTATCATTAACAAGACAAAGCCACGTAGATGCATAATTCATTCCTCATATCATTTTGTACGATACAGATATGCAAGTAAGTTAAGAATATTTTTTTCTCAAGTTTTTAACTGATACGTACTTTTTTTGAGGATGGTTCCTTTACTTTTTTTTTTTTTTTTTTTTTTTTTTTTTTTTTTCATTTTTCTCGTTAAAGTAATAGAGTTAGTAGAATAATGCTGAAATATGAATCTATAACAGTATTATAGTAAATTTCAGTGATAAGAAAAACCTTATGCAATACGAAGGTTTTATTGTTTATTACGACGTAGGCTGGAGGACAAATTTGATAAAAATATTAATGAAAACTCCGGATTTGTTAAGAATATAATTTTCCTTCATTTTAAATATAATTGATTGTCTCTTTGATTATTTGCAAATTAATAGTATTTGAAAATTTTTCAAGAAACCGAAAGCTCATGAAGCTTCCGTTCACTCCTCCGGTGGAATATTAAAATGGATTTTATATTCAAGTTTTCCAGAATTTTTAAAAACCTTTTAAGAATTATTGATTCGTCTATGTTTAAATTAATATAATGGTGTTTCAAAAAAATATTTTTTTTCATTATTTAAATAACATCCAATTTTATAAGAAGTGCTTTATTATTGGTTATAAAAAATACGATAGAAAACAAAAAATGAAAAGATTCTTTTAATAAATTGAAAAGAATGTTTCACTTAAACTATAGACTCGAAAATACATACTTTAATATTTTAGAAAGAATGTGCTTCTTAGCTGACTTAATATAAGTTTTCTAAATAATGTAATGGGAATATACTGCTATTCATTGTGACTACGCCTTGTATATATAATAATTATTTATTTAAGGATAAAAAAAAGATTATTTAAATAGTAAATTTTGCTTATTAAAGAGTTGTTTAGTGCTTGTGTAGTGTTGAGGAAATATATTGCCTTTTTCTTGGGATTGTAGATATCAAAAGAACAGATATTATTCGCGAACAGAAGTTACGGGATGACTTGAATAATTGAATAATTTTTCCGTGTATACAATTAATTAATTAATTTGTAAAGTAAGAAGTGAGAAAAAACCTATTTATAACTGAAAGTTATGAATTTCTGTGAGGGATCGAATGTATTTCATAAGAAAGATAGAATATATTCTATTCTATATATAAAATAGAAAATTTTCTGGCTTTTTCCTTTCAGGATAATAAATGTGATTTAAATTTTGAAATATTATTGAATATTTGTGGACGTATAAAAATAACGAAATGACGGTAAGATAATAAGAAAAAATTATTCGTTGCCATACGTTCATTGCTGTATTGATGAAAAAAAAAAAAAAAAAAAAAAACAAATCTATGATCCGTGAAGATCTGGAAACCAGTGGCATTCATCCCCTTGGCTATCGAATTTTCATCGTCGGGGATGGATGCGGCACTGGCCAGGGAAGACCAAAAATCGCAATCTTAAGCGCTATTAATCGTAGCACAACGAGCGTCGACAATGATCTATGCGCGCGATATCGTCATCGCAGTTGATAAAGCACGGATGTGACGCGTACCTTGGAATGCGATCGTAGCTGTCCCAGCTAGTAAGACAGTTGTAGCTGCTATATCGGCTGGACGACGCCATCACTGCTTCCTGGACGCGGCTCTGGCAGCATCAGGAATCGGTGGCTCCGCTGGCGACTGGACTCACGATGGCCAACCTCATCGCGAACTTATACCGCACAATCACTTTATCAGTCGATTACAATGCGCTCCGTGTCATTTTTGCACGAATACTCGTAAAAAATACACACTTGTCCCGAATATATATATATATATATATATATATATATATATTTATAGAATTACGTAGATGAATATACTTGGCTTATTAATAAGTCTGCTATGCTCTTAAGATTAGGTCTTGGATATATAAACGCGACTTATAAAGATTTCGCGCTTTTCCAGAAGGATCTAAGACACTATATCATGGACCACATGAGACGATAAGAGAAACTCTGCAGACTGACAGATAGAAAAAATTGGACCGCTCGATGATAGTGTTGAACGATTGGACCGCCGTTTATCTTTGTATCGTAGTGAAGTCAATATACGGAATATCTATATATCGTTGATCTCTCGAACGATCGTGAGATGCGCCTTAAAAATATTCTACGTTTTTGGACCCGCCAACCAGCATGTAGACGTCGCTTTTAATGCTTTTTTCTTTATAACCTAGTGTTTACAATTTTATTTAACATTATTTTTTTTATGCCCTTCTATAGCGCGTGCTTTGCATACAATGAAGAAAAAGTAGTGCCTCGCTCACTTCTCGGAGCTGTTAAAATGTAAGGTAAAGTCTAAGGAAAGAAAGAGAATGACTTATGAAAGGAATAAGAAAGAGAAGGGAAATGAAGGGAAATGAAAGAAGCAGGGAGATGACAAAGTAAAGGTAAAAGAAAACGAAAAAGAAGGAGTGAAAAAAAAAGCAAGAAAAAATCGAGATAAAACACGTACGTGTCTATCTTTTATTTTTATTCCTATTCTTTGCGCTGCAGTCGTCAGGTTACGTCAACGTCGAACGAAATATGTGTACTCGCAGGTGCGAAACTCGGCGTCGAATCTCGGCTACGTCGAGTGCCGCTCCGCTCTGACGAGGGTCTCGCGGCACTTGCTTCCGTTCCGCTTTCTTCCTGCTCCTCATTCCACGTTGTTCTTTCTGCGCCTCCTCTTCTTTCCCCTTTCACCGCCTTGGCTAACTTATTCCTCGTTTGTTCTAGCGCTGAGTTCCTTCTGCTCCGATATCGAGGCTGTGGCACTGGTGATCCGTTCGTTTGTTTACTTTGCTCTTTACGGCTGACTGCTCCCAGGCGTATCTACTTAAATCGATAAAATTCTTGCCTTTATTTCTTTTATTTCGTCTCGGCTAACTCTATTATCTATATAAACCGACGGGAAAGTCCTCTTAAGCCGAATAAGAAAATCGATTCTTCCGTTACGAACGGAAAAGCACAACAAAGTGCGTGGATATAGGTGCTAGTACTTGTGTGCATTCGTGTCTACTATTGAAATTATTCACGTGCTTGCTTGCACGACGCTTTCTTAAAATTAAGAAACGAGGCAAAAGGAGAAAAAGCGAAGAAGACGATATTTTTTAAGTTGCTTATCGGGGATTCGCTAATACATAAGTGGGAGTCGTTAATGACTATCTCAGTTGCGTCGTCGGTTTCGAGGAAACCCGACACCCGACATTACATTTCACACGCAGAGAATGAAGAGTTTCGTCGGTCGTCGGTAATAATCTTCATTCGTGCTCGTCGGCAAAGTATGTACACGTCAATCGGAGTCGATGATCATTCCCCTCCTCGCTATTTAAACTGCGATCTTTTTTTTTTTTTTTTTTTACATTGGCCAAGCTGCCTACTTACGACCGCGGTGTGCTAAACTGTGCGTGCACGCGTGTGTGTAAGCGCGCGCACCCACGTATGCCATTTGGCGACGAAAAATTGCGAGTATCGCGCGCAATCGAGTTGGTCTATCGAGTTTCCGTGCTAAGCAACGAAGACGAAATAGTTACAGTTGCGTAGACGTGCGTAAAGACTTTGGCCGAGACTCTGTTCCCTGCTAGGAACTCTCATCGACTTTCCCCCTGGGCGTTTTAACTGTATAACTCAACCGCATCGGCGAGCGCCAATTGTTCAATTCCTCACTGGCCTCGTTGGCATTGTCTTGTCTCCAGCAGCAGCCTATTACAAGCCTTCGACTAATCTATGTACAATCTACTTTCACTGTACTTTCTTCGATCTACTAGAGCCACGCGGCCAATATTCAAATCACTCCCGCTGGAGTACTCCGGCCTCGTCCGACACCGAACAATTCTCGCCACCTTCGAGCACGCGTGTAAATAGGCCGAGTCGAGCCCTCCTCGCAGCCCCGCAGCGAAGGCGCGTGGTCCGGCGGCCTTCCCTGGAGGAGACGGAGCGCCCGACTACGTGTCGTCTGGCCTGGCGCGGCTTCCGGTAGCCCCGAGCGCTCCGAGAGGGTCGCGCACCTCGAGGCGCGCGGTGTATCGCGTGAGCGGCGGCGCGGTGCGATCGCCGCTCGGACGGCCAAGGGCGACGCGCGGTTTTTCGAAATTCACTTGTCGCCCACCTAGCCGGAAGCTCATATTATCCCACTTGGTGATCGCGCCGGCTCTTCCCTGGATAATCGGCCGCGCCTCGTCTCCTGCGGCCTCCCGCGCGTCACTACACCTCCCCCTCCTCCTCCTCCTCCTCCTCTTCCTTCTCCACCGCCACCTCCTCCTCCTCCTCTTCCACCACTTCCACCTCCTGATCCTCCTCCTCTTTCTCTTTCTCTTCTTCCTCCTCCTCCTCCTCCTCCTCCTCCTCCTCCTCCACTTCCTCCTCCTCCTCCTCCTCCTCCTCCTC